GTGCGATTGGCACAGGACAGAGCGGAGTTTAGGGCTGTTGTACATAGGGTCGCTATGAGTCGTAGGTGACTCGATGGCACATAACAACAACAACAACACATGTAACAGTAATTTTTTAAAAAAAGTATGGTAACAGTGAGTTGTCAATGATTTTGTCTTGCTTGAATCCACAGTCAACACCCTTGGCATCAGCAATTAAATCAAAAGACACGTTGCATTGGATAAATGTGCATCTGATTCAGGCCCTGGTCTTTTCAGTCACTCGGCGTGCATACAGAAATTGGTTAGTAAATAAGGATGACGGAAGAGCAGTCAACGCCTTTGAGTGGTGGTATTGGAGAAGAGTACTTGGAGAAGGACATCATGCTTGGAAGGGTGGAGGGTCAACACAGGAGAGGAGGACCCCGGATGAGAGGGGATGACACGGTAACTGGGGTAATGAGGGTTGGTGTGTCAGAATCAGTGAGACTGGCTCAGGACAGGCGGGCTTCAGAGCTGTTACATGCAGGGTCACTATGGGTGACTCAACAGTCTTTAACAACAACAACTGAATATTCCATGGACTGCCAAAAGAACAAATAAATATGTGTTGGAGAAAGTGCAACCAGGGTGCTCCTGAGAGGGAAAGATGGTGAAACTTGGGCCCACAGACTTTGGGCATGTTGTTCGGAGAGAACAGCCCTTGGAGAAGGACGTCCTGCCAGGAAAGGTGGACGGTCAGAGAGAGGAGACGGCCCTCAACAGGACGGATTGATTGTAACAGTGACTTACAGAGATAGGGACGTTACAGGAACAACAGGCTCAAGTGTGTCGGAGATGTTGAGGACGGCACAGGACAGGACAGGGCTCAGATTTGGTGGAATAGGGTCACTGAATAGCACTTGATTTGACACCACTTAACAGCAACAACAGCTAACAGTAAGAAGCATGTCCTTCCAAGGCCTGGCTCTCCCTGGAGGGGTCTGTGAACCCCTCCCAGGGCTCTGACTTCCTGCTCATTGTCCCACCACCCTGCAGACCCCCC